ATTCTCTGCAGCAAGGTATAAAACCTTCTGTGCTGCAGGATTCCCCCTTTATACTTACCTGAGTCCAATTTTCTATCCAGCAGCGCTCACTGCTGTCTCCCTGCTGTCAATCAAATCTTATCACAAGGGAGCTGGGAAAGAGGGGGGGTGCACAAGGCAAAGTCCCACTGTCAATGAAACATGGGCAGGGGAGTCTTGGGAGCGAGCCCCCATGAGTATCCCCCTTGGAAAGCAGCTTGCTAGGGGAAATACTCAGAAGGGGGCTGGAGCCAGGAGCGCCAGTGGAGGACTCCAAAAGAGGATCGGGGCTCCTCTGTGCAAAACCTGAACGGGTAAGTATAACATGTTTAACATCACTTTAACCTCCCTGGCGGTCTGATTATTTCAGATTTTTTGTGCTAAAAGCGGTACCATTATTTTGCATGGAAATATGTAGTTTTTTTATTGTAGACATGTAATTTATGAATAACTCACTGAAATCTGTCCGAACAAGAGTCTAGTAAACATTCCGGATATGATAACACTTCAAACACGAAATCATAAATTATAATTTAATAAATAATCATAAAAAAATAATATAATAATAATAAATTTAATTCAATAATATCAAACCAAAAACACTGAAATTTGAAATATAGCGCCAAGTTCGCACATCGCTGAGCAAAGTCGCAAAATCGTTTTCAGTGTCTGATGACCAATTTCCCACGAATCATTATTACTCAATTCTGCAAGTGGTTCTGATTTACTATCGCTGTTCTCTAGCTGGTCTAAAACCACTTTTGACCTAAAGGGACGCTTTTTAGACACCTTGGACATTTCTCAGTTTCCAGGCAATAAGAACAGTAAAAATGCAGGCAGGGCACAGGACAAAGCACTCGGGACAAAATGTATGTGAAATGCTTTGATACAGTAATATTTTACTATGTGATTTTAGTATATTTAGTGAATGTCACTTTTGGTTATTTTCAAATTTCCCGCCGTTCCGTCCCCCGTACATCCCGACGCTCGCAGGGGACGGAACCCTGATGACAGATGCTGGCATCGGCCGGAGTACATTACAGGGGACACTGCAGGAGGGACATCGCGGGGAGTGCAGGAGAAGGTAAGTAAAGAGCAGATGCCGGAGCAGAGCTGCATGGTAAGTCCGAGTGTAGCTCGGGGGTTACCACTTTTGGTACTGAAACTTTACCCCGAGCTACACTCGGGAATACCGTCAGGGAGGCTACGTGGTTGTAAAGGCTCCAGGTTTTTTTCAATGCATGAAGGTAAAAAACTTTGTGTGCAGCAGCAAACGCCCCCCCCCCCCCCCCCCCCCCCCCCCAAATGTGCCTTGGCTCTCGATCTCTCCCTGGCTCCCTTGGCTGTCGTTACTGTTAATCATAGCGAGTGAGTCAATGAGGAGAGAGTATGTGGTGAGGTCGAACAGCGCTCTGTGTGTAAATGGACACACACACAATAGTGGCTTGGAAGTGAGCCTGCTTGGGTGCCCCCATAGCAAGCTACTTGCCATGGAAGCACACTAGGCAGGAGGAAGGGGCCAGGAGCGCTGGCAGGGCACCCCACAAAAGTAGGATTGGGGCTGCTTTGTGCAAAACCACTGCACAAAGCAGGTAAGTATGACATGTTTGTTACTTTTATACAAAAAATATCTGCCTTTTTTAATATCACTTTAAGTTATTCTTCCTGTAGTGAGCTGGCAAAGCTACTGCACTGAAATCATAAGCAGTGTTGTCAACCCTGCATAAGTTTTCTCCTGGTCTCCAGAACACTTTCCCTTTATGTTATGGGCATAATATGACATGGACATTTGTTCTGTAGCCGGAGAACTCTGACAGGGCTGATGGAAATCTGCATGTATTGGACAGATGTGAGAGAGATTTATTTATTAATTATTAATAATAATTATAATAATCTTTTAAATATATTACTATGTATGAGTAAAAATGTATAAACATCGCCTGTGTAATGTTGGCAACTAATTTTCAACAAATGGTTAAATCTCTCATTAGCAAATACTTAATTTGCAGCACACAGAAATCAGCTTACTGCTAATGGCTAATTCACACAAGCGGACCGATGGGATCCACCTGTCCATCTTTCCTGGGGACCCAATTGGTCCATCGATAGACTTTTCTGTACTGCTGGCATCCGATCCTGTACGTCAAAAAAACCGATGGATAGGGATCTGTTCACCATCCATGCAGCGGATTGAATCGGATGACAGTCAGGTGGAAATGGGCAGGCGGTCTGTTTCCATCTGACCGTCCCATTGAGATCAGCGGGCAGTGTTTGTGTCTGCTCTGCCGCAGCAGATAGAGTCCTGTCATCTGCCTGCTTAGCGGGAATCAGCGGAAAGATCCTCCGCTGAGCAGGTGGATCATGTTGACTGATCCGCCCCATCTGAAAGGGGCCAAAGAGGTGATTGCCTACAATTAAGGATAGTTAAGGATAAGTTCATTGTGACAGACCCAACCAGGACAGGGGCTGTTGGATGGGTCCACAGGCTAGCCCAGGGGTGGGCAAACTTTTTGAGTTGAGGGCCGCAATGGGTTCATATATTGGACCCGGGGGCCGGACCAAGAGTAGATGAATGATGTGTATGTGTCATCCATAGTAAGTATAGTAATATCCCCCATAGTAAGCATAGTAATTCATCCCCCATATAGTAATTCATCCCCCATATAGTAATTCATCCCCCATATTAAGTCCCCCAAAGTCCCCCCTGTGTCAATTTACTTACCTTTGCTCCGCGCGTTCCTCTCGCCGTGTTCCCGCGCCGTTCCGGTCTTCAGGGCGGACTGTGAGAGGAGCCTAGCTCCCCTCACGTTCGTCACGCTGCCCCGCCTACACACATCCTGACAGCTATCCTGACAGTATCACGCTCCGCGGGCCGGATTAAAAGGTCCACCGGGCCGTAGTTTGCCCATTGCTGGGCTAGCCTCTTGCTTACTGACCATGGGCCCTGGCTTCTCAGGGGGCTCTATTCTTTGGGAGGTGTGTGTCTGGGAGGGGGAACCTTTGGAGTAGTTTTACTTCGGATTCAAGTCCATGTCTCCCAGAAACGCACAGACTATGAGAACTGGCAGACCAGGATACAGATCTGTGCCCAAACAACCATTTTCTGCTTCCATCCCCCTCCTAGATTTAGACTTTAAGCAGATGGTAATATAATCAGCTCAAAGCATCCTGATGCTTAGGTCTCTTGCTGTAATCTGTTTATTAAGGGGTTATGTGTTTATGGTGTCTCTTCCCATTGTTAATTGAGTCACCTATTGTTTCTGTCTGTTGGCTAGTTTTCCTGGAGGTTCCTACACGATGTGATTAGTCTGGTGCCAGCTTTTACCTTATGTAATCCGTGTAGTATTGTTCATGTGGGGGCTGCCACTATTTTTGAAGTGTATAAAGAACTGTTTTTTCTGTTCAATAAACAGTTCCAGTTGCACCTAAGCTAGTGTTATCTAGTTTTTGGGTGCAATGCCCAGCTATAATACCTTGGTCCTGTGTCCAAGTGGGCAAGAAAGCAGTTCTCGGACGGAAGCACCCAGGAGGGGTGCCAGGTGGTCTGTCACATTCACCTTTCAACAAGAACTAATAATTGCAATTTTTTTTGTTTTTCAGGTAAAAAAAAATTTGCATTTATTCATTTTAGTTGTAGGAGCCTGTAAACCATTGCACCAGCAATCAGTAGATTGCAGATGCCATGTAGGTCTCCTGCAATCTTCTTGCACATACTTCATATGGGAAAGCCGATACTTACCAACAAGAAAAGTCAATGAACTACCACAGCGCAGTGATAGTTCATTAACCTCCCTGGCGGTATTCCCGAGTGTAGCTCAGGGTTAATTATCAGTGCCAAAAGCTTTAACCCCAAGCTACACTCGGGATTACCCTGCAGCATTGCTCAGGGATTCCCAGTTTCAATTACCTTGTCCTGCGCTCCCGCGATGTGTCCCCTGCAGCGTCCCGGGCCATCTCCTCTAGCCGATGCAGGCATCCGTTTTCCGGGTTCCAGTCCCTGCGAGCATCGGGACATACAGGGGCTGGAACCGGTGGGAAATGTAAACATTTTAAAAAGTGACATTCACAAAATACACTAAAATCACATAGTATAACATTACTGTTTCAAAGCATTTCACATACATTTTGTCCTGTGCCCTCTCTGTATTTTTACTGTTCTTTCTGCCTTGAAACTGAGAAAAGTCCATGGCGTCCAAAAAGCGTCCCTTTTTGTCAAAAGCGGTTTTAGACCAGCTAGAGAACAGCGATAGTAAATTAGAACCACTTGCAGAATTGAGTGATAATGATTCGTGGGAAATTCGTCATCAGACACAGAAAACGATTTTGCGACTAAGCTCAGTACTGTGCGAACCTGGCGCTATATTTCAATTTTCAGTGTTTTTGGTTTGATTATATTATTGAATTAAATTTTATTATTTTTTATGATTATTATATTATAATTTATGATTTCGTGTTTCAAATTTTATCATACCCGGGATGTTTACTAAACTGTTGCTCGGACAGATTTCAGTGAGTTATTCCTAAGAATTACAGGCCTACAATAAAAAAAAAAACTACGTATTTCCATGCGAAAAAAGTACCACTTTGAGCACAGAAATATTGACATAATCATACCGCTAGGGAGGTTAAGGAACTGGAAGCTGACAGCCGCTAAGGGACTTGCAGTTTCTCATTCTCAGAACACTCTGAATGACTGACGTGGCCAGGTGGTTTTTTTTTTTTTTTTCTTAATTTTGACAGCTAGCAGGGGGAGAAGATCTCCTGCTAGCTGTCAAAACTGGGGAGCAGGGGGCGGTCATTTCATAACATGTTACACCCTAATATAAGTGTAACATGTTATGAAAAGTGAACTTATCCTTTTCAATATATAACAGACTGTTTTAATTGTCTTTTGTAGATGCAGCCTATGCATAAAGTATATTACAGATGTAACTATTTGCATTATCTTCAATTTGTTTTTTTGTTTTTTTAATTTCTGTCAGGTAAGAATCTTTACACCAATGAATATGTGGCTATTAAACTGGTGAGTATCTATCAACCATGTTGGGTTTCTTACAGGATTACCGTTTTGTCTATGGCTTCCTGACCTCAACTTTTGCTGGCTTCCTTTTTCCTGCTGTGTGTATAAACTAGCTCGTTTCCGGGTTCAAGATGTCAGAGTTCTTGGGTTCCTTGAAAATCGGGAAATGAGTATGGAGTTACATTTTGTGTATTTTGCCTTTTTGATTTTATTTTATACTTATTTTTTATATATGTACAGAATATAGTGCTAGGTTCCAAAAATGCAACAGTGCATAGAGGGATTGATGGCTTTCACAGTCCTGATGACAAGAGGAAAATCCGCATCCTGCTATTACTGATGCCTGGCAGCTCGCAAATAAAACCTTGAAAAACAGATATTAGCCCACCATTGTAAATGGCACAAAGTGTCACCTGCATATTTGCAGTTTATATAAATACCATCATGTGTTGAGGGCAACTTTGAAACAAATTATTCTGTTCTATGCTAGTTTCACTTACTTTGAGCATGACACTTTAGAGTGCCAGGGGTCAGAATCACCTGATTTCTCTTGACGTGATCTCTGTAATGATAGCACACAGAGTCATTTTTTTTTTAGATCTACTTCTGCCTTGTGTGCCTCTGTACTGTTCGCAGTTATCATGATAGTGCTAGCAGGTTTGTTTCTAGGCTAGCCATATGCATATATAATTTTTTTTCAGCTTGTCGGCTAGCCAATACAGAATGGATGGACAAATCTTCCACTGTAGCAATCTTCTGTAGCGGCCGCTGTAGCAGTCAGCTGTCAAAATACCAGAGCAGTGGCTGCATGTAGTTGGAGAAGCTGATGCTCGCACAACAGTTTTCCAATCGCTTCTTCGATTTTTTTTCAGTTGAAGGATGTCTGGTGGCAGGGAATTACGGGGCCACCCACTGAATGTTGCCTAATTCAATAGTAACTGGATGACATTCATACAGTGTAAGGCAAGCTTTAGTAACAGCTAGATGTTAGAGGATTAGCTTATCATTCAGCGAATCATAACTAAATGACTCCAAACTCCTTTCAGCCTGCTCTCTTACCAGTGACCATATACAAAGGTTGTCTGGTATACCAATAAAGAGGGTGTACAGAAAACTGGTCTTATCACTTTTCCAAAATACCTTTTTTTTACCTTCCATAATAAAACAAAAAATATAACAGTACCATGTTTGCTACCGTCTAGTAAATACTAGATCTCTTTGGATGAAGTGGAAAATTCTTATTGATTGTTTAGGATAGTTGACAACTTCCTTCATTTTGTTTTACTCTAGTTTGTGCCCTCTGTCTTTTGTTTTACTCTAGTTTGTGCCCTCTGTCTTTAAGCACTGCACAGGTGTGATTTCTTTGTTGAAAAAAAGTTATTAAAAAAAGAAAGGGGTACTGTATTTTTCGCTCCATAAGACGCACCTGACCATAAGACGCACCTAGGTTTTAGAGGAGAAAAACCAAGAAAAAAAATATTCTGAACCAATGGACTGCAGACACAGGACAGGGGATGACCAGAGACTGCGGACACAGGACAGGGGATGACCAGAGACTGCAGACACAGTACAGGGGATGACCAGAGACTGCGGACACAGTACAGGGGATGACCAGAGACTGCGGACACAGCAGAGGGGATGACCAGAGACTGTGGACACAGCACAGGGGATGACCAGAGACTGCGGACCTTTAGGGAGGGAGGGGGAGCGGGTACCTGAATTTGACAGGTACCCGCTCCCACTTCCGCAGAGTTGTCCTCCCTTTAGTTTGGGCACCCGGCTGTGACAGCCGGGTGCCCACTGCACATGCGCTAGTAGTGCTGCGCTTTGAGAATGGCCCGGCATCTTCTGGGACCCATGACAGGTCCCAGAAGACGCCGGGCCATTCGCAAAGCGCAGCGCTTTATGCGCAGTGGGCACCCGGCTGTCACAACCAGGTTCCCACACTAATGCTGCCGGCGCGGGAAGACTTCACAGCGCTGGACCGAGGAACAGGTAAGGTCCTGCTGCAGAGAAGAGCTGAGTGGCCGGTCCGGTATTCTGACATGGTGTCGGCGGCGGAAATACCGGACCGGCCGCTCCATATTCTCTCCATAAGACGCACTGGCATTTTCCCCTCCTTTTTTGGGGGGAAAAAAAGTGCGTCTTATGGAGCAAAAAATACGGTAATAAAAAAAATAAACCATAAAATCTGTATTTAATGAATACTTAAAATAAAGGTTGTAAGTTGTCTAATAAATTTTTTTTCAGGAACCAATCAAATCTCGTGCACCCCAACTTCATCTGGAATATCGATTTTACAAGCAACTTGGAAGTACAGGTATAAGATTAAATTTGCATATTTCCACATGTAGGTGAAGATGCACTAGAAGATTATAGCAGTTTACGATTCTGATGTCTTATTATTACTACATTGTGTTATTACAGCGGATGGCCTTCCTCAGGTCTTCTACTTTGGCCCATGTGGAAAGTACAATGCCATGGTACTCGAGCTCCTAGGTCCAAGTTTAGAGGACTTGTTTGACCTTTGTGATCGGACATTCACTTTAAAGACTGTGCTAATGATAGCCATTCAACTGGTGAGAATTTTTTTTTTTATCTTTTTCTTTTATAAAAAGGTTTTATTAACAATTTATTAAAAATCTAAGATGTGTGTTTTTTTTTTTTTTTTTTTTTTTTTTTTTTATTCAGGCTAAATTATGTTGATCTCTGAATATTTTATTTTTTTTCTTAACAAAATTGTGATCTTCCCTTCACTTACATAAGGTACAGTTGGCACCATCTGTCATAGTACTTTTTCCATAAGTCTCCCTCATGCACACTGGCATTTTTTTTTTAAGCTCCTAGAAGCTATTATCAGCATATATTTTTTTTTCTGCTCCTAGAAGATAAATAGTGTTATCCTATGTATCCATGCACTCTACTTATGCTAATAGCATTTTTTGAGCTTCTGTGTCTAGGAGCAGAAAAAAACAGCCTCCTAGCAGCTTTTTTTTTTTTTTTTTTTTTTTTAGCTTTTTGTTTTTTTACCTCTATATGTACTGTAAAAACGCTAACACTCTTAAACGCTACTAAAACAAGCTATTACCATCGTTTTTTTATCCAGCATTTTTTGAGCTTAAAAAAACGCTAGTGTGCATGGAGCCTAAAAAATTCATATGTATGTCCTAAAAGAGCAAAACCTTGTTGATGAATGTTTTATATATTGTGGTAATATTGGGCATACATCAGTGAGGTTTTTATGTATGTAGTAGGATGAGGCTTGCATCACCCAGACAGTCAACATTATCAATGTAGGAGAGTTATGTTCATTCCATTTGCATTCTAAAAACAATGGATTTTCAGGTTTATTTTCTTTGGTCTATGTGTGAGTCACAAGTTGACTTTCAGGTTCACTCTTTGGTTTAAATGTGGTCACAATCACATGAAAGTTGTATGCTACCTTTAACACTGAAGGGTTTCACTGACTAATAGGAATCCCTTTTGACAGAATATTTTCATATCTCTAGATAACAAGGATGGAATATGTTCACTCCAAGAACCTCATTTACAGAGATGTAAAACCAGAGAACTTTCTAATTGGTCGTCAAGGGAATAAGAAGGAGCATATTATCCACATCATTGACTTTGGACTGGCCAAGGAGTACATAGACCCAGAAACCAAAAAGCACATACCTTATCGGGAACACAAGAGCCTGACTGGAACAGCCAGATACATGTCCATAAACACTCACCTGGGAAAAGGTTTGTTCCTTTTTTCTTTTACATGAGTTCTTTCTTTTATTTCTTTCTTCTCTCTCCTTCTTTCTTTTTCTCTTTCCCTCCCCTCCCATGATGTAAATCTAGTGCTGGACGGAAGTCTGTCATTAATCCTTTGTGTTCTCATTTGACAAGTAAGATCCTGTGGGATTTTTCTTCCGAAAATTGTTTTATTTATTTTTTTAATTGAATGTGTTTATACCTATTTTCTTGCTGATACTCTGTGCATTGCTGTTTAAATTTGCCTTTAATAACTATAAAAAAAGTTACTAAAATATTGCTGCAAACGACTTCATGGTTAGACTGGAGCTGCAAGTAATGGCATGCTTTTCTTTTCTGTTTTTTATGTCTGTTTTTGTGAAATAATTTACTTTTGTTTATAGCTGTAAGTGCAGAAATCTCAGGGAAACATTTTAGATTGTGTAATAAAAGAAACTGTGTGGCTTCTGTTTGACTATTTTTTTCTCTGAAAATGATAGTTGCCTGGCTGTTAAGCTTAGCTTCTTGTTGTTCACCTTTTTTGTGAAATAAATACTCTGCAGTCAAGAAGAAGCCCCACCAGTTCTTTAGCTTGTCCGCAGTGACATGAGAGAGAAGACACTGTACATATTTATTTATTTCAGGTACTTATATAGCGCCGTCAATTCACACAGTGCGTTACAAAAATAGTTTTGTGATTCTGGGGGTGAGTGCCCAATGGCTGGCTCTTCCAGGCAAAAGGACAGTAATGGAGCTAAGCAGAATATTGGGACACTTTCCTTTGTTTAGTAATGCACGGTTATAGTACGGGGGGCAATTATTACATCAGTGCGCAACTCAGACGCGCTCACTGCACAAGGGGTGCTCTGCTGCTGCCTGGCTACAGTACTACCCACAAATAGACAAAAATTTGTAAGGAGGAGCAGAGATGATGCCATTGAGGAAAAAATTGACTTTAACCCCTAGACACCGAGCGCACGCATATTTGCATGCCATTAGAAAATACATATGTGAGAGTGTGCACTCCCAGCACATATGTCCGTGACTCACGAAAAGGTCCCGATCTCCCCTTGCGATCGGGACTTTTTCCGATCATGTGACTGCCATGACAGCAAATCACAGCGGTCACATGACCCTAAAACCCCACCTACCTCCCGGCTTCTGAAACTCTTAAAGGACCTGGAGGCGCCGGCGCAAAGGGGTTAAGGAAATAATTGTGACATAATTTTACAGTGCATCCAGAAAGTATTCACAGTGCTTAACTTTTGCCACATTTTGTTATGTTACAGCCTTATTCCAAAATGGATTAAATTCATTTCTTTTCCTCAACATTCTACAAATAATACCCCATAATGACAACATGAAAGAAGTTTGTTTTGAAATCTTTGCAATTTATTAAAAATAAAACGAAAAAAAAACAAAACACATGGTCATAAGTAATTCACAGCCTTTGCCATGACACTCAAAATTGAGCTCTGCTGCATCCTGTTCCCACTGATCATCCTTGAGATGTTTCCACAACTTGATTGGAGTCCACCTGTGGGAAATTCAGTTGATTGGACATGATTAGGAAAAAGCATAAACCTATCTATATAAGGTCCCACAGTTAACAGTGCATGTCAGAGCACAAACCAAGCCATGAAGTCCAAGGAATTGTCCGTAGACCTCCGAGACGGGATTGTATCAAGGCACAGATCTGGAGAAGGGTACAGAAAAATTTCTGCAACATTGAAGGACCCAATGAGCACAGTGGCCTTCATCATCCGTAAATGGAAGAAGTTTGGAACCACCAGGAATCTTACTAGAGCGGGCCACCCAGCCAAAATGAGCGAAGGAGGTAGAAGGGCCTTAGCCTGGGAGGTAACCAAGCACCCGATGGTCACTCTGAAAGAGCTCCAGTGTTTCTCTGTGGAAAGAGGAGAACCTTCCAGAAGAACAGCCATCTCTGCTGCACTCCACCAATTAGACCTGTATGGTAGAGTGGCCAGCTGGAACCCACTCCTCAGTAAAAGGCAAATGGCAGCCCGTCTGGAGTTTGCCAAAAGGTACCTGAGGGGACTCTTGGACCATGCAAAACAAATCTTTCTGGTCTGATGAAACAAAGATTGAACTCTTTGGCCTGAATGCCAAGCGTCATGTCTGGAGGAAACCAGGCACCTCTCTCCACCTGTCCAATACCATCCCGACAGTGAAGCATGGTGATGGCAGCATCCTGCTGGGGAGATGTTTTTCAGTGGCAGTAACTGAGAGACTAGACAAGATCGAAGGAAAGATGAATGCAGCAATGTACAGAGACAGCCTTGATGAAAACCTGTTCCAGAGCGCTCTGGACCTTAGACTGGGGTGATGGTTCATCTTTCAACAGGACTACGACCCTAAGCGCACAGCCGACATAACAAAGGAGTGGCTACGGGCCAACTCTGTGAATGTTCTGAAGTGGCCCAGCAAGAGCCCAGACTTGAACCCGATTTGAACGTCTCTGGAGAGATCTGAAAATGGCTGTGCACCGACGCTCCCCATCCAACCTGATGGAGCTTGAGAGAAATTGCCCAAAAATAGGTGTGCCAAGCTTGTAGCATCATACTGAAAAGGACTTGAGGCTGTAATTGGTGCTAAAGGTGCTTCAACAAAGTATTGAGCAAAGGCTGTGAATACTTACGTGTGGGTTTTTTTTTTTTTAATAATTTCAAAACTAACTGCTTTTATGTTGTAATTATGGGGTATTGTTTGTAGAATGTTGAAGAAAAAAAATGTATTTAATCCATTTTGGAAGAAGGCTGGAACATAAAATGTGGCAAACGTTAAGCGCTGTGAATAATTTCTGGATGCACTGAATAGAGCACTTTTGTATTTGTAAAGCCTACACAATTAAAAATAATTGAAAACTGAATATTCTGTTTCCTGCATATGCCCAGTCTTAGGAGTCATGACCAGCAATGTATAATAGGTATCTGCAGGAAACTGTAAATGTACCTGTTTTCTGCCAGAGTTCTTTGGATTCCTTGAAACCTGGGTGATTAAACACAAATAATGACTTTGGCATAGAAAGTCAAACTGTGGCTAACTTCTCTTGAATCTTACACATCATTATTTTGTCAGGGAGACAGTCTGCCACTTTGAAGGATTAGTACAATGATGTGAGAATATGAATGGGGGTGTGTGGGCAACATACAGTAGATTATACAAAAGAAATATATGCAACCCTGCAATCAAGTAGTAATTACAAGAATAATAATGGTTAACACTGCCATATGCTGTAAGTAAGTAAAGCACCCAAACATGGATACTAGAAACTCCATACTTGTGGTGTTATGCAATAAATTAAAGTAATACTAAAGCTACAAAGTTTTTTTTTTTTTTTTTTTTTTTTTTTACTTTTTTAATGCGTTTCTTGCATTAAGGTAAATCTCTTATATTTCTCTGTGTGAAGGCGATCAAGCGTTGTGCACGGCTCCCTCTCTTCTCCCCTATCATTCCCTTCACACAAGGACTCGAGCCATTGGCCCTGCTGCTGTCAATCAAATGCATTGAGCAGGAAAGGGAGGGCGCTAAGTTCCGCTGTGTCTGTCTACGGCTCCATAGACACACAGCTCAGCAGCGAATGGACACCAATAAGATGAGGAGCCAAGATTGCTGTTAGGTGGCCTGAGAAGAGAAGGATTGGGGCTGCTCTGTGCAATTAACAAGAAAAAGATTTAACTTTAAATATACTTATCTGTACCACAAATTGTGTCCAAATCTTACAGCAGTCAAACCTTTCTGTACCATTTTATGTAGAACGTCTATACAGTAACTGGTATCATTAGAACTCCATGAAATACTTCCTAACAAATCTCAAAAACCTTCTGCTTTGTAATAATCTGCACTATTGAACATGACTGCCCCCTTATTTTTAATAAGATTTTAAGCAAACACATTAAGGGGTTTTTCACTATGTGTAGCAACTGGGGCTTTTCTGCACTTGATAAATGCAAGTCACCGCCAAAGCACCTAGAAACAATTGTTTTCTTTATGCCCCATTCACAGCACAATGCTGGTGTGAAATGTTAGGTGTGGAAAACTGCAGACATGGTGCGTTTTTTCCGCAGCACATCGAATGGCACTGGAGGTCACCAAAGTACAACACTCTGCAGTGTGGAGCCTTGAAGTAGAGTACACAAAGGTTGCATTCCATTAAAGTTTAAATGTAAAATGATGCAATGCACCAAAACAGTGCATCATACCCCACCTACCCCCCACTTCTTGCCAAAACAAAGCAAACCCTGCCCCGTACACTTAAAGCAGAACTGAAGTTTCACTGTCACAAACCGTGAGCAGGCAGGCACAGTTTTTTTGCAGAAGAGACGAGCAGTGTCTCTATGCAATAAAATACACCTACCTGTCTACTGGTTGTCTTCCCCAGCATGTAACCGGAGTTGCACATGGAAAGCTTGGCTACATCATGTGTGTTGGAGTGACGTCATCCCGCACCGGCCAATATAAACTGTCACTGACCAGCACCCAAGCTATATTTATAGTGCATCTAGTATTAACAAGCACTAAACAAAGTGTGTCTGGTAGGTTAATTTAGGAAGTGATGATAGACGATTTGAAACATTTTAATACGTGCTAGAAACCCTTTTTTTTGTTTACCTATCACAAATTTGTGGAACCGTTCCCTACCTCTAGACTAGATCAGTAAAAATATGAACTGAGCAAGGGAAGAACAAAGATGGTTTACTGCCTAGTTACTGTCAGATGTTTTTATGCAAAAAGTGCATGTATAGGCATATAGGGAAATCCTTCACCAGACTTGATGGTTAGTGATGTGACTTTGCAGCACCTTGAGCTGGAGTTTAAATCTTAAGGATGTTCTATTCATGGAATTTGTGTTTTTGTTTTTTGATGGCTTTTATTCATTCACTCTGCTCATTCAATGTTGTTAATGGTGTCTCTGTTTTACACTTTTAACACATGCACATTAGAATGTAAATTTCTTCAGGGTGGGCTCTCTGTAGTTTGTGGCG